GCTTAAGACCACTATCTTCCTCCTGTGCACAGATACGGGCCAAAGCCCTGTTAGCCTTCATAATGGAGAATAGGCAATGCAGTAAAATTAAACAGATAATATGTACAGTATATTTCCTCTGGTGGCACCAAACAGTGTAATCTACAAGAAATAAATGCTACAAAATACTATCAAATTTGATGTCTGTCATGAATTTTATGTGCCTTGGTCATCCTTTCACCCATCCCCCTTGATTACAATCGCAGCTCATCTGCAAATTCTTGACTACCCAACATTTTGCTAGGTCATCCCAACATGAAACACACAACATAAATGCATTTTTTCTTGCATTATCAATGCCTTATTCCATGGTGGAGTGCTTGCCATTATGATTAGACTAATTTTGACAGTCAAAAGTATACTGTCTTGAAGCCATCTCATCTCAAAGGAGTCCCCACTAACCTCACTTCTGCCCCACACCTCCGCCCGCTGGAACGATTGACATGAGTTGGAGATTCACTATCCATCAAGCACAGTTTTCATCATTCAGTGGGTGAACTGCTGATACCAGCAACTCCATGTGAGCCTCTGTATTACCATGTGAAACACTTGAGAGCATCACTGCCATCCTCCTGACCAAAGTGTGGGCACATGGCTATGATAACCCTCATAATGGAAAATGCACAACCCGGTAATAATAATAATAATCCTTGCATTTGATATAGCGCTTTTCACGTCGGGAGGACGTCCCAAAGCGCTTCACAGAACACACTGTAAAGTGAATTGACTGTATATTTGTGGGCGAACGCGGCAGCCAATTGCGCACAGCAATGTCCCACAAACAGTCGTAGATTGAAAATGACCAATTTATTATTGTTTTTGGTTTTGGAGGGATTATTATCAGGCTCTGTGCGGAGTAAGGAAACTTGCCCAAGGTTTCGCCCTCTGCCTGGAATTGAACTCAGGTCTCTCACTTGCAAAGCGAGTGCTCTAACCACTGAGCTACAGGACTCCACAAAAATTAAAGTTCTAACGTGCATATCCCCTCAGGTGGCACTAACCAGAATATTCTACTGTAAATGCGATCTAATATCAAATTGAGTATCTGTCATGATTTCAATCGAATAATCTAGGGCTGACATTGTTGAGGGTAGTGGTGCAATATCAGCGTTTTCAATGTTTGAATAAGACGCTAAACAGAGTTGCTGTTTCTTCGGGTTGACATCAACGCTTCTGTGACATTAACTAAAAAGCAAATGAATTAGTTATCCATAAGATGTTAGTTTTCCAGTTCTGGATTCAACAATAACAACTGCTTCCACATATATAGTGCCCTTCACGCAGGGAAGTATCTCAATGAGCTTGATTTCTTGTGCTACAAGTTGCTGCTACAAATAACTACTGGGTTTGTCTAACAAAACAGTTACTGCACTTAGCAACAACGTGGGTTGCTTTTATAAGAGCAATAAAAATGAAACTGTCACTCATTCACAATTGTTGCCTCTGTGAGAATGAAGAAACTGTTTTATTTATTGTGAGGCAGTGCCCTCTATGGATCGAGTGTTTCAGTTGAACATGATTCTCCTGTTCCTCACCCTGATCCTGTCCACATCTGGTCTGTCAGAATGTACGAGTACTTGGGTAGAAATACAAGATGATCCTGTAGCTCAGTGGTTAGAGCACTCGCTTTGGAAGCGAGAGACCTGAGTTCAATTCCAGACAGAGGGCGAAACCTTGGGCAAGTTTCCTTACTCCACACAGAGCCTAATAATAATCCCTCCAAAAAACCAAAACAATAATAAATCGGTCATTTTCAAGCTACGACTGTTTGTGGGACATTGCTGTGCGCAATTGGCTGCCACGTTCGCCCACAAATATACAGTCAACTCACTTTACAGTGTGTTCTGTGAAGCGCTTTGGGACAGCCTCCCGACGTGAAAAGCGCTATATCAAATGCAAGGATTATTATATTATTATTATTATAAAGTACTCTATTAATGTGTCATTTAAAAGTTTGCAGAAATTGTTAATTCATATTTAACTTTGAGAACCGCTTTCTGTAGTTCAATCAGACCCAGGTGGAATTTCTAATGAAATATTTACAAAGAATGAATTCACAAATATTCACCGAAGTGGATATCTTCATTTCACATATAAACAGGACGAGGAGCAATAATACTCCGAATAGTAAAACTGAAAAATGCGGACATCACATTGATGAAAAGTAACAGCAACTTTCATCTAAATAGCACACTTAACGCAGGGCAATCTTGCGGATTCATTTACACGGTTGCCGTTGGACACTAAACACGGGAAAGGTGGAATGGTTAGCCTGAAATATGTTTCAAGCATGTTCATTAAACCAAAGCACCACATGTTCATCATATAAGTGGCGCAATAATTTATGTATTCTTTCTTTTGTTTTATAATTTTTCGGAAAAAAAGAATGAATACAATCAACGTCATAACAAAAATTTCAACAGAGTCTAAGAATAGTGCAGCATTTGTGCTGTCGATGCAAGTACTTCCAGACAATTGCATAAGCGATGCTTGAAGCCACAACATGGTAACTGAATATCTTGCGACTCTTTTAGAAATAGTTATGCTAGATTAAACCAAATCCTGACTAATTTTATTAATTAGTAGGATTTCTGTTTGATTTATATTGCTACATATTTTTCGCATTCAATTTGCAAATCAATATATTTCCCGAGCTTTCCGAATTCCTTGTTTGATACTACTGAAGTCTTTATAATGATCCCGATTTCAAAGTAAAAAATGATATATACTTATATAAAAACGTGTATTGTTACATTGTGATCGTTAAAGAGATTCCCTAAATATCGTTTTCTAAAAACAACATTTTATACCATATCAAAATGTATTCTCAGTGCGTTACAGATATTGCGGCCACTAAAATAAAATATTCCTGAAAGACGGTCAGAATAACCTTGTTGAATTCGCTTCCCCGTTTAAGAGCAAACAACACTTGCAGTTTTGATTCACAAATTAGCGCATGATTTAGAATACGTAAAAGTGGGTGTGGACCTGGTTGGTTCTGATAACCATTCATAACCATTAATATATGCAAATTTGCAGATTAAGAGAGTAGCTATACTATATCTCCGATTAGAGTCGGTTGTTGTTGAGTGATTCAACAATCATCAGTTGTATTGGTTCTTTCAATTGTACTATTCACTTCTAATGAATCAATTCTCCCGATTCAAACATAAATACCGATTATCACATTATCCAGTTCTTACGGTTAATTTCAGACGAGATTCGTAAGTTTACGATTTTAGAAGTTTATTGAAAAAATTTGTAAATCACCATACTGCAACATTATCTGCTGCTACTGGGACATTGCAGATATGATGTTGTCCAGTTATCCTCTTATCATAGTTCCAATTAAATAATCCAATGTTTTATATTTGTTAGATATTGATCTGCAAAGATACACCGCATAATGCCCAAAGATTTAAAGGTTGCGAGAGAGCAAAAATATTAAAATGAAATGATACAAACTGTTGAAATAAACTGCAGTTACACCTGCAGGTGTTCAAACGTCAACGAAATAATAATAATAATAATATTAATAATAATAATAGTCCTTGTATTTGATATAGCGCTTTTCACGTCAGGAGGACGTCCCAAAGCGCTTCACAGAACACACTGTAAAGTGAATTGACTGTATATTTGTGGGCGAACGCGGCGGCCGATTGCGCACAGCAATGTCCCACAAATAGTCGCAGTTTGAAAATGACCAGTTTATTATTGTTTTTTTTGGAGGGATTTTTCTTAGCCGTAATAATAATGATTATTATTATGATGCCGCAAAGAGCAAATTGTTTTCTCAACAGCGGGCTTGGGGCACGCTGGTGCCGCAAAGTGGGGAGGGGGGGAGGATAGGAGGAGTAAAACATCCATGAGCTCTTGGGGGGAGGGTGCATTTTCTCGTTTAATTTCCATCTGATTGGCTGATGGAAACGTAGCTTTTAAATATATTGGCCCTCAATTTGCAATATAAAAGCTAAGGGTAGACATTTTATTAAGTAAATGGTAAAATATACACTTTGATTTAGTGCTGTAGGCAATGGTGGGCTGGAGAGGGAGGGGTCAAAATTAGTTCACTGAATTAGCTTCTGAATGCTGGATCGATATACACCATTGTTGGGGCAAAACATTTCACGTGCGCTAAGCCTGTAAGAACCTTCATGAGTTAATATTCAATACTGTGCAATATTTTAAATTCACTTCAATTTTACTTTATTTTCAATTGAATTTGAAAATTGGTTCTTTTTAAGAAAGACATGAAACGGCTACCAATAATGGCCAAAATTAACATTTTTCCAAAATTCTGCTCGATACGTTTTAAATTTTAGTACGCAATAGTTTGGGGGCTACAGTTAAATGAACGCAATTACAGCCGCTTACGCCTCAGCGCCACACTCTGCAGAAGAAGTCTGAGGCAGGACAACAAGATGCTGAATGTGCTATTCCTGTTCCCTTGTGTGTGTATAACTTCCTGTTGGAATAGTTCTTCCCGTATGACGACATTCTGTAGTTCTATCAGTTTATAATAATATTCAATGTTTATCTGAATAGTCATATGATAATATACAATAAAACCAGTGGTATGCGAAAAAATGAATCAAATCAAGAAAAGAAATGAAAGGAAAACAGCGGAGGCACAGACGACAATGGAAGTCATTTAATAAAGCTGTGGTATATGTTATTTCTGTAATTTTACACAAGTGGTTTCATCATTGCAGCCTGAACACATTGCAAGACACAACCATTCAATTCCAGCAAACTGACAAATATTATTCTTGCCGGTTTTAATGCAATATTTGAAACATCTAAGTGCTATTTTCTTCAGTTGGGAAATTTACCGAAAGTCTTTACAAAGCGAATCATTTGCTATAATTTGGACATTCCTGGCAAAATGAACTTCAATCCAAAATATTACAATCACAAGCATTATTATTAAAGGTAGATATTCGATTAGCGCTCTACATTGCTGGTTTAGGTACAACTGGATCTGGCGATGCTTTTCTCGAGCGGAGTGGCCAGAGTCTGGTGTTTGACCACACAGGAATACAGGTCGTGTGACTCCCACTCGGAGGTTGGCAGAGTCAGATAACTGCTCACACTGTACGTGTTGTCCGCCTGCTGTTTGATCGCACTCGTTTCAACACCTTCACTTCTGGCACTGCCATCCACAGTCCACTCGACCTCCACAGCTCCCGGAATAAAATCATTCACCAGACACACCAGGGTCGCCTTGCTCTTTGCTGTGATTTGATCTGGTGAAGGCGGAAGGACAGTCACCGAAGGGCCCTGTGGGTCTGGAAGGAAAAATTTAGCATCAGATCATGTCCACTACATGATTAATTAAAATAGTTGAAATTATTTTTCTTAATATCTTAAGATTACAATCGTCCTGTTCAATCGCACGACACAACTTCAAGATCGCTAATGACTACTACAATAGAGTAATTCACATTCGCGTAAATGGCATTTTCTTGTCTATTCACGATACTGTTCAATTGTGGCAAAGTCTATCTATATCAAGGGAACATTCAGTGCTGGGGTCACGACTGATAGACAAATGTCTGGGGGCTGCTCATCATACACACTTCATTATTATACATACTATCATTAGTTGGCAGATGAGCAGTTAAATGGGGACCACATGTTCAAAATATTCCTATATTGAAGAAATTCAAGGCTACAATCGACAGAAATAATACCAGACACTGACTATCTCATCCCAGGGAGTATATGGCGGGAACACCTCATTGAAAGCGCAGTAACACATGATTGTTAATTCTATCCATTGTTTCCTTTCACAGCGGAGAGAATGTGCAGCAAATGGATATAAATAACTGGGTGTGTTGTCAACTGAACACCCGATTCCGATTAACTCTGTGTAAACGCAAACACGCATTATTCGGCGTTAAATCCAACTATGCGCAATCTGACCTTCCTCGACAATGGAGCTGCTAATCTTTGAGTGACTTTTCGGATTTCAAAAGTCGCCATTCACGAATGTAGTCGTTTGTTATTGATACATCAAAATGTTATTATTTATCAATACAATCAGAATATTAGTAATTCTCAAGGTCAAATTGAAACTTTTTGCAGCGACTATAACATATGGATAAAAATAACAGCCAAATGCTTTCACCCCAACTAACCAGTTCCACCAATGATTTTTTTTACAGGCACCGGCTGCAGATAGTAAGAAGGTGAAAATCTCTTTTCACACAGAAAATCATTTTAGGAGCACAATCAGATTCCAATATTTCAACAACAACAACAACAACAACAAGATTCCATTTATAGAGCGCCTTTCACGTCAGGAGGACGTCCCAAGGCGCTGCACAGTTGGGTCATGACCCGAGCAGGGGGGAAATGGTCAGGGTGAGGGGAGGGAAGGGAGGGAGAGAGGAGGGGGGAAATGGTCAGGGTTAGGGGAGGGAAGGGAGGGAGCGAGGAGGAGGAAGAGAGTCGAGAGGGGAGCTGAAGGCACGGTCAAAGAGAAAGGTTTTGAGACCGGCCTTGAAGGAGGAAAGGGAGGAAGCGGCGAAGGCACTGGGGGATGGAGTTCCAGAGCTGGGGCTGAGAGGCTGAAGGCCTGGCACGATGGTAGGGCGGTTGGGGCGGGGGACGTGGAGCAGACTGGAGCCAGAGGAACGGAGGTTACGGGCAGGTAGGTAGGGGGATAGTAGGTTGGAGAGGTAGGAGGGAGCAAGGCCGTGAATGGCCTTGTAGGTGAGGATGAGGATCTTGAAATCAATCCTCTGGGGGATGGGGAGCCAGTGGAGGCGAGCGAGGGTAGGAGTGATGTGGTCCCGAAGCCTGGTGCGGGACAGTACACGAGCTGCAGAGTTCTGAATGACCTGCAGCTTGTGGAGGGAGGTGGCGGGAAGGCCGGCGAGGAGAGAGTTCCCATAGTCCAGCCTTGAGGTGACAAAGGCGTGAACCAGGGTTTCAGCAGCGTGAGGGGTGAGGTAGTGCCGTAATCTGGCGATATTCCGGAGGTGATGGAAGGCGGTGCCAGTTGTGGTGCGGATGTGAGGGAGAAAGGACAGCTCAGGGTCGAACAAAACGCCGAGGTTCCTGACTGGCTTTGAGAGGTGGAGAGTGCAGCCTTGGATGCTGATGGTGTCAGCGCCTGAGGTGCGGAGGCGCTGACGTGAGCCAATCAGGAGGGCCTCGGTTTTTCGCACGTTGAGCTGAAGAAAGTTGTCTCTCGTCCAGGACTCGATGTCGGACAGGCAGCTGTCAGGACATCGGTTGTCGTGGAGTTGAGAGTAGAGGAGGAAAGGTAGAGTTGGGTGTCATCCGCATACATGTGGAAGTTAACCCCATGTTTGCGGATGATGTCACCAAGGGGGAGCATATAGAGGGTGAAGAGGAGGGGAACGAGGACAGAGCCCTGAGGGACACCACATGAGACAGTACGGGGGGTAGAGGAGAAGCCAATCGTTGAGACGAAGTGAAGACGGTGGGAAAGGTAAGAGCTAAACCATTCAAGGACAGTGCCTTGAAGGTTGAGGTGGGAGGACAAGCGGTGGAGTAGGATAGCGTGGTCGACCGTATCGAATGCTGCCGATAGATTTCAATCACTGAGGAGAGTAACTTCACAAGTTTTCAATAATTAATTGCTACCGTATTAACTGAATGTAGTTACAGTTACAGTTATTACATAGGTCGGGATCCCCTTAACATCACAACTAATGAGGTTAATTTCCAAAGGAGAAAATATATTTTGTGTGTTGAGCGGATTGAGCGTCTCTCGGGCTGTGTCTTCTCTCAGCGATGATCATATCTGAACAATTACAACAACTTATGATGGAACACCTGACATTACTGAGTCTTTGCTGGTCATTGCAATTGTGCTCCCCTTAGTGACATGAAACACGGAATTGGAAGAAAATAATACATTTTAATAAACCCGAAAATCTGCAGAAAAGTTAAAATAGAAGCGATTGTTAACGGGAGGAACAATATTTCCTCTGAGACTTTCTACATTTGCTGGTTTTCTGCACTGTCTTTCCTAATTCTTCACAGATTCTCAGTTAAACTCAGGATTCGCGTGTTTGATTCTTCAAAATATCCGATTTCCAAATAAAACGTTTATCGTTGCGATGATTACGGCCACATGCAAATATTACCAGAACCGAGTGAAACAGAATCCAACACAGATCAACATACAGTTATACCTTGGAATACTTGAAGGAGAACCAGATCAAAATAATTATGGAAAAGTAGAAACAACCACATGCAAAGTGTACAATGTCAAAAAACACTTACTTTTCAAACTCAGCTTCGTCCCTTTACCGAAGGTATCACTTGCTTTACAGTAATAATCGGCGGCGTCCTCCGGTTGCACACCGCTGATGGTTAAATGCATGGCGTTGCTCCGTGAGTCCACAGAACCAGTGAATCGATCAGGAATTCCCGGTCCTCTGGTGGAGTCCTCATACAAAACAAACAGAGGGGCGCCGTCAGGCTTCTGCTGGTACCAACTCGTGAAGTGGCTGCCGATGCTGCCTCCGGACATGGTACAGGTGATCTTGACGGTGTTTCCCGGGGAGGATGAGATGGATGGTGGTTGAGTCAGGGTAAAAGCTCCGGCTGTGCCTGGAGAGATAAAAATTGATAAATAGGTCAAATTGTTGAACTGTACAATGTGAGTTCAATTCAAATCAGTGCGGATTCCGCAGCGCTTACCATGTAGACACAGGAGCAAAGCAGCCAGAACTCGGAGCCAATTGCCCATCGTGAACAATTTGATGAAGATCAGAGAGATGAGGGATGTTCCTGACAAAATCCGCTTTTCTGCTTCTTTCTAAACTTCTCCTTAAGAACCATCAGGTGATGTAAGTCCAATTAAATTCTTAAATTATGCAAATCACCATTCAGGTTGCATCGTCCAATTAGGAGTCTTATTTCCGAACAGTATATTGAAGATCATGCAGATTTGATTCATTTTGCTGCCCATTTTCGAAAACATATTTCACGGTAATGTTGCATAACATTTCAGGCTGAAGACTTTGATTGAATGAAGTTCATTTTCAGTTCTAGTAGGAAATAGAGATTTTTTAAATAGCACAAACTTCAAAAAAATTTTGCAGAATCATGGAAAAGTCTTATTCCGTTATTCGGATATTTCAGGGCTTTGTACCAGATCAATCCTGCAAGATCTCTTCCTCTGATTCACAGAGAATTACATTTTTGCGGAGCTAGTTCCATGTTGGATAATTTGTAGTTGCGAGCGGTTCATCGATTCATTCCGTTGCAGATTACAGACTGACATGCCACACTTGACCTGATGCAGACCTGCACAGAAAGGCACAGTTTACAGCTGTTGCCAGCCTTCCTCAAACTATATATACGGATTATAGATTTTTGAAAATATAAATTCTCCAAGTCTCCCTTTGGCAGAATATCAGTTTCATTCACGGATCTAGAAAGCTTCTATCACGAAACGTTATCAACGCTGAAGGGAGCCATAGCTCTGTTGATCAATAATAATAATAATCCTTGCATTTGATAATCCTTGTATTTCACGTCTTCTATATATCTCAAAGCACATCGCAGAATATACTATGAAGTGAAATGACTGTATATATGTGGGCCAAGTGCGGCAGCCAATGCTGCACAGCAATGTCCAATAAACAGTCGTGGATTGATGTGACCAATTTAATATCGTTTTTTTCTTGATGGATTATTACCAGGCGTGTGGAGTAAGGAAACTTGCCCAAGGTTTCGCGCTGCCAGAAATTGAACCCATGTCGCTCGCAAGCAAGGAGAGAGCGACAGGACTCCAGCCAGGAGGATAGCTGCGCATTTAGAGGTCGGTGTTTATGATATAAAATTGTCATAAGTGTTGTTCCTATTCGTAACATCGAATGGCACATAATGACATTATATGACACATACAGTGGCCAGGCCTTGGCTGCAGCCCACCAGTACCAAATACTTCCCAGAATCAGGAAATTGATGTGACAAGGAGAGAGGGGCCATGGAATTCCATCCCAGTCACGGGGAAGTTGCTGCTCTAATGTGACACAAGTGCATCGCCAATAGAATGTTACAGCGACTGTCGTATGTTATCCCCCCATCCTACTCACACACACACACACACACACACACAGAGACACACATACACACACACACAGACATATCCGGATCTATTTGGGCTTTTTGTTACTTAATAATGACAATCCTTGCATTTGTTATTGTACTTTTCACGTCTTCGAAACGTCTCAAAGCACTTCACAGAATAGACTGTAAAGTGAATTGACTCTATATTTGAGGGTGAAATGCGACGGGCATTTCAGCAGTATCCCAAACAGCAGCATCCCATAAACAGTCTTGGTATGCAGTGAATAATTTATTATTGTTTTATTTTCTCGAGGGATTATTATCAGGCGTGTGGGCTAAGGAAACGTGCCCAAAGTTTCACCCTGCTGGGAATCAAACCCAGGTCTCTCACTTGCAAAGTGAGTGCTCTAACCACTGAGCTATAGGGCTCCACGTATTTCTTTTTCCACCAAGGGGATTTTTCTAGAGACACTTGTGGAAGGAAAAAGATAGGTTTGAGTAGACATTATGAACGAGTGACTGGAGCATATTTTGAATTAGACAATGATAAACGACTAGCAATTTCTCACGTCAAATATTAAGTGAATCTATTAATATCTTCACACAGGAATCCGGTAACTGCTCTGATACCATTCCCCATTTGCGTATACTTTACATTTTGTTTCTTTTAACCAAAATACTGGGAAGAGGCTATATTGTGTGGAAAGGTTTGCACATTAGTATCTTGATAAATTTCCAATCAAATGTTAGATAATATTGCATACCATTTTTCTCATCTTATCTTGGGAAAGAAACTCACACTAAATGTGATTGTAATGAAGGTTGGATTCCCTATATTTAAATAAACCACAACGAATTACAGTATCCCTGCATCATTTTGCTCTATATTGCTGGTGGTTTTCTGATAAAACGTTAATACTTGTAAATCTATATTTCCTTCCAGGGAACTGAAATCCGATGGCATCAAAACACAAGCACTCAATTCCGATCTTCTGGACCTGTTGCCTGCGGCTGTAATGTGATGTGCTATGGAACGAGAATTGAAACAGGAGATTTGTGTTGCTCAACCCACTGATGGAAGAAAAGTGCTGTTTCCACCAGCGTTCCCACTCGCTTGTATTGAATTCTGAGTATGCATTGTTCCAATACATTTTTGTTACACGTGAACGTTAAATGGCTTTTATATGCGTAGAAATTCACAACAGCGTTCATTTTAAAAATAATAATCCTGCAGTACATGTATTCTGTTAGAAATTAAATACATGGATAATAATACTTTTGAGAAAACCTTTTCATATCAGGAGGACGATTGATGATGCTTCATTGAATATACTAGATATAGGTCGTAGGCAAATGTGGCAGTCAATTTGAGCATAGTAATATCTCCCAAACAGCCTTGAAGTGAATCATAATTATATATTAGAGAATTATTGGACAGGACACCAGACGTTTTCTTCTTCATTTGCATTGTGACATGCGATCCTTAACGTTCACATGAATAAGAAAATGTGATTTTGTTTAAAGTCTCATCCAAAGAATGGCACCTCCAACAATGCAGGGCATCCACATCATGATATTGCAGCAGGTAATTTACTCAAACCTTCAAATTTGTTATCATTTTTACATTATTTACATTATAATGCTTTTACATTATACTTTTTTATCCTTTTAATATATCTTCTATATCCTTAATATCTCTGCTCCACCCTCAACTCCAGGACAGCTTGTGTCCTCACCGACTGCATATCCGTCATCAAGTCTTGGTCAAGGGAGAACCTTTCTGCAACTCAACTTCAGCAAGACTGCACCTCGGGCGTTGGCAGCATCAGCATTCATGGCTGCACATTCATCCTCACAAAGCCAGTCTGGAACCTGGGTGTCTTCTTTGACAAGCCACAGATCATTCAAATCTCTGGAGCTCGTGTACTCTCGTGCACCAGGCACTGTGACCCCATCACTCCCACCCTCACCTGATTCCACTGGCTCCCCATCCTTCAGAGGATCGAATTCAAGATCGTCGCCCTCACTTTCAAGGCCATCCATGGCGTTATCCCCTCCTACATAGCTGACCTGGTGATGCTCCCCAACCTGCCCGCTCACTCCATTCAGCAGCCTCCGGGCTGCTCCTGGTCTCCCAACCGGCCCACCCTACCATCAGTGGCCGGGCTTTCAGCCTCTCTGCCTCCACAGTTTGGAACTCCATCTCACGGTCCCTGAGCTTCGCTACCTACCTTGCCTCCTTCAAGGTTGGTCTCAACACCCTTCTCTTCGATTGTGCCTTTAGTTGCCCTCCCACCTCTTTGAATTCCCTCACTCCCCCCCATGCTCGGGTCCAACTCCTCTCTCTTCAGCATTTTGGGACGTTCTCCAGTCGTAAATGGAATTTTATTGTTCCTGCTGAAGGAAGAAAAGTACTCAAGTGTAGTTTTCCATAAGCGTTCACAGTCGCTTGTATTGTATGTGCCGATCCAATGCACGTTTGTGATTGGTAAATATCAAATGGCTCGAAAGTGCAGAGAATCATAGAGCAGACTTCATTTTAAAAAGGCCTCCTACACTGTGTATATTGTGCTAAAAATGAAATACATAGATAATAATACTTATCAAGGCATCCCCATCATTGCATTGCAGCAGTTAATTTACTCAGGTCTTCAGTTTTGTTAGTATTATTTTGGGAACAGTTCAAATTTCCACTTATTCATAGGATATAGAAACATGTCATTGTAGGTAAGAAGCATGCCATTCAACTCATCCTATATATACCCTCATTTTGAAGGGCGGTTTATTTACAAATAATCATGCATTCCAGCTTTTCCTCTGTATTCCTCAATGTTTTTATTTTTCAGTGATCAAGTCCTGGATGAGAGCTGACTTACTCCACTTAAAAGTTGAAAGGGTGGAGACCCTCTTGCTTGACTTCAGTCAGCATATTCTCACCTCAGGCTCTTACAACGTCGCTATTGGCATGTGGACTTTTCATCTCATAGATCCAATATCGATTCTTGGTGTCATGTTTGACCCTCATCCCTCCTTTATCCCCATATTGGTGCTACGAATCATTCTGATTTTCCACACATTGGCTGTATTGTCCAACTCTGCCACTGCCTCTCACCTCATTCTGCCAAAACCCTAATTCATGCATTGATCACGTCCAGGTGGGTGGAATTATGTTAACCCTCTGCTAACTGGATTTTCCAACTCTTCCCTCCATAGGTTAAAGATTATTCAGAACTCTGCAACTATCCCTCACCAAGCTCCATGAGGCAATCACCCCCAACCCAAAGAGGAACACGCTGAGGATCCTCAACATTATTTTAAAAGCACTCAACTTTATTGGTCCTTAACACCTTAGCAACATTTCTGCTCTATTCGCTTAATACTGGTCTGCATTACCTCAACCGACCCACCATCAGCAGGCAGGAATTCAGCCTTTTTTTCCCACCTTCTGGAACTCCATTCAGAAATCTCTACACCTTACCCTGCCTTCCTTCCTTCCTTCAAGGCTCATCTCAAGTCCTATTTCTTTGACAATACCTCGGTCATCATCCCACCCCATCAACTTTGAGCCAAATCCCTAGCAAACCCTTGAGTGTGCAACATTTTGTGATGTAAATCCAACATGAAAAAAACTATATAAACGCAATTTGTTGTTGCAGTTGTGTGTCAAGATCAATGGCTTGTAAGAAGCATGCCATTCAGTCCATCCTATATGTACCTTCATTTTGAAGGGCAGATGATTTACAAATATTCATGCGTTCCACCTTTTCCTCTGTATTCCTCAATGTTTTTATTTTTCAGTGATCAAGTCTTGGTTGAGGGATCACTTTCTCCAGTTAAAAGTTGAAAGGGTGCAGACCCTCTTGCTTGGCTCCAGTCAGCACATCCTCACCTCATACGCTGATAACGTAACTATTGACAAATGCACTCTTCACCTCACAGTGGTGAGGTGGTGTCATGTTCGACCTTCATCCATCCTTTATCCACATATCGATGGTACGAACCTCTCGGTGTTTCAGCACTTTCACGACATTGTCCAATTCTGCCACTGACTCTCCCCTCATGCTGTCAAAACCCTCACTCATGCATTCATCACGTCCTGGCTCGTCTAGGTAATCCCCATCTCTTCCCAACTCTTTCCTCCATAGGCAAAAGATAATTCAGCACTTTGCAACTATCCTGCAACCAATCTCCATGAAATGATCAACCACAACTCCACAGAGCTTTGCTGGCTCTCTGAACCCAGGAGGAACAAGTTCAAGATCCTCATCCTTACAATGAACACCCACTACTTTATACTTAGCAGCTTAGCGGGCACTGGTCTGCACCATGTCGACCACTCCACCAAAAGCAGAAAGTCATGTTAGTCTCCGTAATGGAGAGTACGCAACCCAGTAAAATTAAACGGATAAAAATGTATAGTATATTCCCTTTGGTGGCACTAAACAGGATAATCTATAATGAATAAGTGATGCAATATACTATCAAATTGGATGTCTGTCATGATTTTTATCTGCTAATCTGGGGCTGACACTGCAGTCCATTACTGAAGGTAGTGGTGCATTTTTGCCCCTAAACTCTAGAACTCCATTCTGGAATCTATTCCCCTTTCCCTGTCCTCCGTCGGTGAATGCTAACCTCAACTCCTTTCTCTTTGATTGTACCTTGGTCATCCTTCCATTTCATCCCCGTTGATTTAAATCGCAGCTCCGGTACAAATGTTTGACTGTCCAGCACTTTGCTACGTCATCCCAATATGAAACACATTACATAAATGATTTTTTTATTGCAGTTTTCAGTCATTATCAGTGACTTTTATTGCGGTGGAGCGCCTGCCATTACGACTAACCTAATTTGACAGTCTAAAATATACTGTTTGGGAGGTATCTCATCACAAAGGAATCCCCACTAACCTCATTTCTCCCACAACCCTCCGCCTGCTGGAAGGGTTGACACGAGTTGGAGATTCAGTGTCCAACAAGCACAGTTTTCAACATTCATTGGGTAAACAGCTAATACCAGGAAGTCCATCTGAACCTGTGCATTACCATGTGAAACGTTTGAGAGCATCACTACCATTCTCCTGACCAAAGTGTTTCCAAAGTTAACACTAACAACGGAGAATACACTACCTGGTATAATTAAACTTCTGATGTGCATATGTCCTCAGGTGGCACCAAACAGGATATTCTACAGTAAATAATTCATACAATCTAATACTAAATTGAGCATCTGTCATGATTTCTACCGAATAATCCAGGGCTGTCATCACTGAGGTTAGTGGTGCATTATCAGAAGTTTCATTTCATGAATCATAAATAATAAATAACAATAATCCTTGCATTCAATATAGCGCTTTTCCCGTCTTCTCGACATCCCAAAGCGCTTCACAGAATATACTGTAAAGTGAATTGACTGTGTATTTGTGGGCGAACGCGGCAGTCAATTGTGCACAGCAATGTCCCACAAACAGTCATGGATTGAAAATGACCTATTTATTATTGTTTTTTTGTTTTTTGGAGGGATTATTATTAGGTGTGTGGAGTAAGGAAACTTGCCCAAGGTTTCGCCCTGTCTGGAATTGAAATCAGGTCTCTCACTTGCCCTCCACGCAGAGAAGCGTCTCAGGGCGCTTGATTTCTTCTGCGACAAATTGCTGCTCTTATATCTACTGTGTTTGGATGCAAAAACAGTCACTACACGTAGGAACCAAGTGAGTTGCTTTCATAAGAGTAGACAAATGAAAGTGTCACTCATTCACAATTGTTGTCTCTGTGAGAGTGAGGGAACTGTTTCATTTATTGTGAGACAGTGCCCTCTACGGATCGAATGTGTGAGTTGAACATGATTCTCCTGCTCCTCGCTTTGGTCTCGTATTTCATAAAATACGAGTACTTGGGTAGAAATACAAGATGGGTCAAAAGGTACTCTATTAAACTATTATATGAAAGTTATCAACGTGTTAATTCATATTTAACTTTGAGAAGCGCTTTCTGTAGTTCAATAGACCCAGGGGTGGAATTTCTACTGACATATTAGCAAATATCACGAAGTTGATTTCTTTATTTCTCATGTGAACAGCAAGAGGGGTAACACTCCTTGTTTGATGCTACTGACGTCCTTACAATTATGCCGATACCAAAGGAAAAAAATGATAATACTTGAACATATATAGTTATATTATTATCGTTAAAGCGATATACCAAATATCTTTTTCTAAAACCAACACTTTATGCCGTATCGAAATGTATTCTCAGTGGGATACAGATATTGCGACCACTAAAATCAAATATAAAGTGTTCTTCAAAGATGGCCAAAATAACCTGTTGAATTCTCCCACCACACCTCCCCCCCCCCCCCCCCCCCCCCTCAAAGAACAAATAACATTTGCAGTTTCGACTCACAAATTAGCGCATGATTCAGAATGCATAAACATAGATGTCAGACCTGGTTGGTTCTCATAACCATCAATAAATGCAAATTTGCAGATTAAGAGAGTAGTAAACTATATCTTGTGAATGTAGAAAGCACTCCGCTTACTGTCGGTTGTGTTGAGCGATGCAACAATCATGGGTCTTATTGGTTCCTTCAATTGTACTATTCAGTTCTAATGAATTAATTCTCCCGATTCAAACATAAATAGCGATTATTACACTATCCACGTTTAGGGGTTAATTTCACATGAGATTGATAAATTTACGATTATAGAAGATTATTGAAAAATTTTTGTAAGCTACTGTACTACAAATTACCGGCTCATCCTGGAATATTGCAGATATGTTGTTGTCTAGTTATCCTCCTATCATATTTTCAATTAAATAATCCAATGTTTTATACTTATTTAAATAATGATCTACAACGATACAGAGAATAATAACGATACAGCTTTCAAGGTACAACAAGGGGAAAACATTAACATGAAATAATGCAAACTTGAGCTGTTGAAATAAACTGCAGTGACAACTGCAGGTGTTAAACCGTCATCGAAATGCTGCAAAGAGAAAGTTGGTTTCTCGACAGCAGGATCGGGGCACTCCGGTACCCACAAGATGGGGGAGGGGGAGGGGTGGGAGGTGATGGGAGGTGGTGTCGGGGGAGGAACATTCTCCGGTAAATCCTCCATGAGCTTTTGGGGGAGGGTACATTTTCTCGTTTCATTTGCATCTGATTGCCTGATGGACAGCAGCTTTTAAATATGATGTTACTCCTTTTGGCAAAATAAAAGCTTAGCGTGAAGATTGTATTAAGTAAAAATGGTTACGTATACACGTTTATTTAGTTCTATAGACATTGGTGGGCTGCAGAGGGAGGGGGCAAAATTAGTTCAGTGAATGAGCTTCTAAACCATCGGTGGATGTTTGCTAATTTTGGCGCAGAATATTTCACATGTGTTTCGTCTGTCAGAAGGTTCATGATTTCATTTTTAACGTTGTGCAATAGTTTAAATTCACATGACTTTTAATTCATTTGCAGTTTAATTTCAAAGTTGGTTGTTTTTCACGAACCTCATGAAACGGCTCTCAGATAACGACCGCAATTTACAGTTTTCCCAAATTCTGCGCAATAAGTTTAAATTTTAGGACGCAATAGTTTGGGGGCTCCAATTAATTAAACGCAATTACAGTCGCTGACGCCTCTGTGCCACACTGGAGAAGATGTCAGAGGCAGGACAGCAAGATGCTGAATGTGTTATTCGTGTTCCTTTGTGTGTGTATAATTTTATGGTGGCATACTGCTTCCCGTATGACGGCATTCTGTAGATTTGCCATTTTATTGCATACTTAACGTTTATCTAAATATTCATAAAATAATAATAAAAAATAAACTTAATTGTTTTGGAAAAAAAAAGAATGATATCAAAAAAACAAAATGGAAGAAAAAGAGACGATGCACAGAGGACAATGGAATAGACATTTTATTAAGCTGTGGCATATGGTATTTCTGAAATTTTACACAATGGGTTTGATCATTGACGCGTGACCACATTGCAAGATACAACCATTCCATTCCAGAAAATTGTCAAATATTATTCTTTCCGGTTTTAAGGCAATATTTGAAACATCTAAACGCTATTTACTTCGGTTGGGAAATTTATCGAAAGTGTTTACAAAGCGAATCTGTTACTCAATTTGGACATTCCTGGTAAAATGAACTTCAATTTCAAAATACCACAAAAGTAGACATTCGATTAGCGCTCCACATTCTTGATTTAGGTACAACTGGATCTGGCGATGCTTTTTTCGAGCGGAGTGGCCAGACTCTCGTGTTTGACCACACAGGAATACAGGTCGTGTGACTCCCACTCGGAGGTTGGCAGAGTCAGATAACTGCTCACACTGTACGTGTTGTCCGCCTGCTGTTTGATCGCACTCGTTTCCACACCTTCACTTCTGGCACTGCCATCCACAGTCCACTCGACCTCCACAGCTCCCGGAATAAAATCATTCACCAGACACACCAGGGTCGCCTTGCTCTTTGCTGTGATTTGATCTGGTGAAGGCGGAAGGACAGTCACCGACGGGCCCTGTGGCTCTGGAAGGAAAGAATTAGTATTCAGATCATGTCTACTACATGATGAAGTAAAATGGTTGAAATTATTTTTCTTAGTATCTTAAGATTACAATCGTTCTGTTCAATCGCACGACACAACTTCAAGATCGTAATTAACTACAACAATACAGTAATTCACATTCGCGTAAATGTTAAAACATTTTCTTGTCTATTGACGGTACTGTTCAATTGTGACAAGGTCTAACAATTATAATAATAATAATGATAATGATAATCCTTGCATTTAATATAGCGCTTTTCACGTCGGGAGGACCTCCCAAAGCGCTTCGCAGAACACACTGTAAAGTGAGTTGACTGTATATTTGTGGGCGAACGTGGCAGCCAATTGCGCACAGCAATGTCCCACAAACAGTCGTAGATTGAAAATGACCAATTTATTATTGTTTTTGGTTTTGGAGGTATTATTATTATGTGTGTGGAGTAAGGAAACTTGCCCAAGGTTTCGCCCTCTGCCTGGAATTGAACTCAGGTCTCTCGCTTGCAAAGCGAGTGCTCAACCACTGAGCTACAGGACTCCACGGGTGACGACTGATAGACAAATGTCTGGGGGCTGCTCATCATATACACTTCATTATTATACATACTATCATGAGTTGGCGGATGAGTAGTTAAATGGGGACCACATGTTCAAATATTCCTGTACTGAAGAAATTAAATCTTGCAATCGACAGAAATAACACCAGACACTAATATATCCCGTCACAGGGAGTATATGACGGGAACACCTGATTGAAAGCGCAGTAACACATTGTTGTTATTTCAATCCATTGTTTCCTTTCACAGAAGAGAGAACGTGTAGCAAATGGATATAAATATCTGGCTGTGTTTTCAATTGAACACCCAATTGCGACTAATTCAATGTAAATATAAATATGCATTATTCGGCTTTAAATCCAATTATGCGCAATCTGACCTTCCTTGACAACGGAACTGTCTAATCTAATCTAATCTTTGAGTGATGTTTAGGATTTGAAAAATCGCCATTCACTAATGTAGGTCGGTTGTTACTGATACATCAAAATGTTATTAGTTATCAATACAATCAGAATATTAGTAATTCTCAAGATCAAATTGAATCTTTTTGCAGCGACTATAACATATGGATAAAAATAACAGCCAAATGCTTTCACCCCAACTAACCAGTTCCACCAATGATTTTTTTTACAGGCACCGGCAGCAGATAGTAAGAAGGTGAAAATTTCTTTTCACCAAACACTGAACACAGAAAATCATTTTAGGAGCACAATCAGATTCCAATATTTCAATCACTGAGGAGAGTAACTTCACAAGTTTTCAATAATTAATTGCTACCGTATTAACTGAATTTAGTTCCTAATTAATGGTGGTCTGGAGTTACGGTTATTACATAGGTCGAGATCCCTTTCACATCACAACTAATAGGAAACGATAAAGTTAATTTCCAAAGGAGAAAATATATTTTGTGTGTTGAGCGGATTCAGCGTCTCTCGGACTGTGTCTTCTCTCAGCGATGATCATATCTGAACAATTACAACAACTTATGGTGGAACATGTGACATTACTGAATCTTTGCTGTTCGTTGTAATTGTGCTCCCCTTAGTGACATGAAACACGGAATTGGAAGAAAATAAAATATTTTAATAAACCCGAAAATCTGCGGAAAATGTTAAAATAGAAGCGATTGTTAACGGGAGGAATACTATTTCCACGTCATACTATTCCTCTGAGACTTTCTACATTTGCTGGTTTTCTGCACTATCCGTCCTAATTTTTCATAGATTCTCATTTAAACTCAGGATTCGAGTGTTTGATTCTTCAAAATATCCGATTCCCAAATAAAACGTTTATCATTGCGATGATTACGGCCAACTGCAAATATTACCAGAACTGAGTGAAACAGAATCCAACACAGATAAACATACAGTTATACCTTGGAATACTTGAAGGAGAACCAGATCAAAATAATTATGGAAAAGTAGAAACAACCACATGGAAAGTGTACAATGTCAAAGAACACTTACTTTTCAAACTCAGCTTCGTCCCTTTACCGAAAGTAAGATCTGCTTTACAGTAATAATCGGCGGCGTCCTCCGGTTGCACACCGCTGATGGTTAAATGCATGGCGTTGCTCGATGAATCCACAGAACCAGTGAATCGATCAGGAATTTCCGGACCTCTGGTGGAGTCCTCATACCAAACAAACAGAGGGGCGCCGTCAGGCTTCTGCTGGTACCAACTCGTGTAATAGCTGCCGATGCTGCCTCCGGACATGGTACAGGTGATCTTGACGGTGTTTCCCGGGGAGGATGAGATGGATGGTGGTTGAGTCAGGGTAAAAGCTCCGGCTGTGCCTGGAGAGATAAAAATTGATAAATAGGTCAAATTGTTGAACTGTACAAAGTGAGTTCAATTCAAATCAATGCGGATTCCGCAGCGCTTACCATGGAGACACAGGAGCAAAGCGGCCAGAACTCGGAGCCAATTGCCCATCGTGAACAATTTGATGAAGATCAGAGAGATGAGGGATGTTCCTGACAAAATCCGCTTTTCTGCTTCTTTCTAAACTTCTCCTTAAGAACCATCAGGTGATGTAAGTCCAATTAAATTCTTAAATTATGCAAATCACCATCCAGGTTGCATCGTCCAATTAGGAGTCCCTTTTCCGAACAGTATATTGAAGATCATGCAGATTTGATTCATTTTGCTGCCCATTTTCGAAAACATATTTCACGGTAATGTTGCATAACATTTCAGGCTGAAGACTTTGATTGAATGAAGCTCATTTACAGTTCTAGTAGGAAATAAAGATTTTTTAAACAGCACAAACTTCAAATTGTTTTTGCAGAATCATGGAAAAGTCTTCTTCCATTATTCGGATATTTCATGGCTTTGTACCAGATCAATCCTGCAAGATCTCTTCCTCTGATTCACAGAGAATTACATTTTTGCGGAGCTTGTTCCATGTTGGATAATTTGTAGTTGCGAGCGTTTCATCGTTTCATTCAGTTGCAGATTACACACTGACATGCCACACTTGGCCTGATGCAGACCTGCACAGAAAGGTACAGTTTACAGCTGTTGCCAGCCTTCCTCAAATTATATATACGGATTATAGATTTTTGAAAATATAAATTCTCCAAGTCTCCCTTTGGCAGAATATCAGTTTCATTCACGGATCTAGAAAACTTCTATCACGAAACGTTATCAACGCTGAAGGGAGCCATAGCTCTGTTGATCAATAATAATAATAATCCTTGCGTTTGATAATCCTTGCATTTCACGTCTTCTATATATCTCAAAGCACATCGCAGAATATACTATGAAGTGAAATGACTGTATATATGTGGGCCAAGTGCGGCAGCCAATGCTGCACAGCAATGTCCAATAAACAGCCGTGGATTGAAGTGACCAATTTAATATTGTTTTTTTCTTGATGGATTATTACCAGGCGTGTGGAGTAAGGATACTTGCCCAAGGTTTTGCGCTGCCAGGAATTGAACCCATGTTTCTCGCAAGCAAGGAGAGAGCTACAGGACTGCAGCCAGGAGGATAGCTGCGCATTTAGAGGTCGGTGTTTATGATATAAAATTGTCGTAAGTGTTGTTCCTATTCGTAACATCGAATGGGAACGCCACATATGACACATACAGTGGCCAGGCCTTGGCTGCAGCCCACCAGGACCAAATAGTTCCCAGAATCAGGAAATTGATGTGACAAGGAGAGAGGGGCTATGGAATTCCATCCCAGTCACGGGGAAGTTGCTGCTCTAATGTGACACAAGTGCATCGCCAATAGAATGTTACAGCGACTGTCGTATGTTATCCCCCCATCCTACACACACACACACACACACACACAGACACACACACACACACACATACACACACACACATTTTTCTAGAGACACTTGTTGAAGGAAAAAGATAGGTTTGAGTAGACATTATGAACGCGTGACTTGAGCATATTTTGAATTAGACAATGATAAACGACTAGCAATTTCTCACGTCAAATATTAAGTGAATTTATTAATATCTTCACACAGGAATCCGGTAACGGCTCTGATACCATTCCCCATTTGCGTATACTTTACATTTTGTTTCTTTTAACCAAAATACTGGGAAGAGGCTATATTGTGTGGAAAGGTTTGCACATTAGTATCTTGATAAATTTCCAATCAAATGTTAGATAATATTTCATACCATTTTTCTCATCTTATCTTGGGAAAGAAACTCACACTAAATATGATTGCAATGAAGGTTGGATTCCCTATATTTAAATAAACCACAACGAATTACAGTGTCCCTGCATCATTTTGCTCTATATTGCTGGTGGTTTTCTGATAAAACGTTAATACTTGTAAATCTATATTTCCTTCCAGGGAACAGAGATCCAATGGCATCAAAACACAAGCACTCAATTCCCATCTTCTGGACCTGTTGCCCGCGGCTCTAATGTGATGCACTATGGAACGAGAATTGAAAAAGGAGATTTGTGTTGCTCAACCCGCTGATGGAAGAAAAGTGCTGATTCCACCAGTGTTCCCACTCGCTTGTATTGAATTCTGAGTATGCATTGCTCCAATACTTTTTTGTTACACGTGAACGTTAAATGGCTTTTATATGCGTAGAAATTCACAACAGCCTTCATTTTAAAAAAAGTAATCCTGCAGTACATGTATTCTGTTAGAAATTAAATACATGGATAATAATACTTTTGAGAAAACCTTTTCATAACAGGAGGACGATTCATGATTCTTCATTGAATATACTAGGTATAGATTGTAGGCAAATGTGGCAGTCAATTTGAGCATAGTAATATCTCCCAAACAGCCTTGAAGTGAATGGTAATTATATATTAGGGAATTGTTGGACAGGACACCAGATGTTTTCTTCTTCATTTGCATTGTGACATGCAATCCTTAAAGTTCACATGAATAAGAAAATGTGATTTTGTTTAAATTTCTCATCCAAAAAATGGCACCTCCAACAATGCAGGGCGTCCACATCATGATATTGCAGCAGGTAATTTACTCAAAGCTGCAATTTTGTTATCGTTTTTAAATCACTTACATTATAATGCATTTACATTATACTTTTTTATCCTTTTAATATACCTTCTATATCTTTAATATCTCTGCCTCCACCCTCAACTCCAGGACGGCTTGTGTCCTGACCGACTGCCTATCCGACATCTTTGACCCTGAACTGTTTTTTCTTTCCCACATCCACGCCATGACACCCACTGCCTAACCCGCCTCCACAACATTGCCAGACTCCGTCACTGCCTCACCCCTCAGGCTGCTGAAACCCTTATACTTCATCACATCGAGGCTCAATTACCGAAACTCCCGCCTCATCGGCCTTCCCAACTCTTCCATTTACAAGCTGCAGATCATTCAAATCTCTGGAGCTCGAGTACTCTCGTGCACCAGGCTCTGTGACCCCATCACTCCCACCCACACCTGATTCCACTGGCTCCCCATCCCTCAGAGGATCGAATTCAACATCCTCGCCCTCACTTTCAAGGCCATCCATGGCCTTGTCCCCTCCGACGCAGCTGACCTGGTGATGCTCCCCAACCTGCCCGCTCCCTCCATTCAGAAGCCTCCGGGCTGCTCCTGATCTCCCAGCCGGCCCACCCTACCATCAGTGGCCGGGCTTTCAGCCTCTCTGCCTTCACAATTTGGAACTCCATCTCATAGTCCCTGAGCCTCGCTTCCTACCTTGCCTCCTTCAAGGCTGGTCTCAACACCCTTCTCTTCGATTGTGCCTTTGGTTGCCCTCCCACCTCTCTGAATTCCCTCACTCCTCCCCCATGCTCGGGTCCGACTCCTGTCTCTTCAGCGTTTTGGGAAGTTCTCTAGTCGTACATGTAATTTATTGTTGCTGCTGAAGGAAGAAAAGTACTCAAGTGTAGTTTTCCATTAGCGTTCCCAGTCGCTTGTATTCAACGCTGTGTATGTGCCGATCCAATGTACGTTTGTGATCAGTAAATATCAAATGGCTCGAAAATGCAGAGAATCATAGAGCAGACTTCATTTTAAAAAGTACTCCTACAGTGTAGGTATTGTGCTAGAAAAGAAATACATAGATAATAATACTTATCAAGACATCCTCATCATTGCATTGCAGCAGTTAATTTACTCAGGTCTTCAGTTTTGTTAGTATTATTTTGGGAACAGTTCAAATTTCCACTTATTCACAGGATGTAGAAACATGTCATTGGAGGTAAGAACCGTGCCATTCAGCCCATCCTACATATACCCTCATTTTGAAGGACAGTTGATTTACAAATAATGATGCGTTCCAGCCTTTCCTCTGTATTCCTCGATATTTTTGTTTTTCAGTGATCAAGTCCTGGATGAGAGCTGACTTACTCCACTTAAAAGTTGAAAGGGTGGAGACCCTCTTGCTTGACTTCAGTCAGCATATCCTGACCCCAGGCTCTTACAACGTCGCTATTGGCATATGGACTTTTCATCTCACAGATCCAATATCGATTCTTGGTGTCATGTTTGACCCTCATCCATCCTTTATCCCCATATTGGTGCTACGAATCATTCTGCTTTTCCACACATTGACTACATTGTCCAACTCTGCCACTGCCTCTACCCTCATTCTGCCAAAACCCTAACTCATGCACTGATCTCGTCCAGGCGGGTGGATTTATGTTAAACCTCTGCTAACTGGATTTTCCAACTCTTCCCTCCATAGGTTAAAGATCATTCAGAACTCTGCAACTATCCCTCACCAAGCTCCATGAAATGATCAACCACAACTACACAGAGCTTTACTGGCTCTCTGAGTCCAAGAGGAACAAGTTCAAGACCCTCATCCATACAATGAACGCCCACTACTTTTTTACTTAGCAGCTTAGCGGGCACTGGTCTGCACTATGTCGACCACCCCACCATAAGCAGAAAGCCATGTTAGTCTCCGTAATGGAGAGTATGCAACCCAGTAAAATTAAACTGATAAAAAGGTACAGTATATTCCCTTTGGTGGCACCAAACAGGATAATTTGTAATGAATAAATGATGCAACACACTATCAAATTGGATGTCTGTCATGATTTTTATCTGCTAATCTGGGACTGACACTGCAGTGCATTACTGAAGGTAGTGGTGCCTTTTTGCCCCTAAACTCTAGAACTCCATTCAGGAATCTATTCCGCTTTCCCTGTCCTCCGTCGGTGAATGCTAACTCAACTCCTTTCTCTTTGATTGTACCTTAGTCATCCTTCCATCTCATCCCCGTTGATTCAAATCGCAGCTCTGGTGCAAATGTTTGACTGTCCAGCACTTTGCTACGTCGTCCCAACATGAAACATATTACATAAATGCATTTTTTTATTCCAGTTTTCAGTCATTATCAGTGACTTTTATTGTGGTGGAGCGCCTGCCATTACGATTAACCTAATTTTGACAGTCTAAAATATACTGTTTTGGAGGTATCTCATCACAAAGGAATCCCCACTAACCTCATTTCTCCCACAACCCTCCGCCTGCTGGCAGGGTTGACACGAGTTGGAGATTCAGTGTCCAACAAGCCGAGTGCTCAGCATTCATTGGGTACGCAGCTAATACCAGGAAGTCCATCTGAACCTGTGTATTACCATCTGAAACGCTTGAGAGCATAACTACCATTCTCCTGACCAAAGTGTTTCCAAAGTTAACACTAATAACGGAGAATACACAACCTGGTAAAATTAAACTTCTAATGTGCATATGTCCTCAGGTGGCACCAAACATGATATTCTACAGTAAATAATTCATACAATCTAATACGAAAATAAACATCAGTCATGATTTCTATCGAATAATCCAGGGCTGTCATCACTGAGGTTAGTGGTGCATTATCAGAGGTTTCATTTTTTGAATCATAAATAATAAATAATAAACCTTCCATTTGATATAGGATTTTCATGTCTTCTAGAAGTCTCAAAGTGCCTCACAGAGTAGACTGTAAAGTGAACTGACTGTATACTTGTGGGCGAAATGCAGCAGCCAATTGTGCACAGCAGTGTCGCACAAACATTTATGGATTGAAATGACCAATTTATTATTGTTTTCTTTCTTGAGGAATTATTATCAGGTGTGTGGAGTAAGGGAACTTGCTCAAAGTTTCACCCTGCCAGAAATCAGACCGAGGTCTCTCGTTTGCAAACTGAGAGCTCTCGCCGCTCAGCTACAGGACTCCACAATAAGATGCTAAACTAAGCTGCTATTTCTTCAGGTAGACATAAATGTTTCTGTCACATTAATTGAAAAGCAAAAGAGTTTAGTTATACATAAGTAAAATTATTTTTTCAGTTCTAGATTCAAAAACAACTATAATTTCCAAATATATAATAAATAATAATAATCCTTGCATTCGATATAGCGCTTTTCACATCTTCTAGACGTCCCAAAGCGCTTCACAGAATATATTGTAAAGTCAATTGACTGTATATTTGTGGGCGAACGCGGCAGCCAATTGCGCACAGCAGGGTCCCACAAACAGTCATGGATTGAAAATGACCTACTTATTGTTTTTTTGTTTTTTTGAAGGGATTATTATTAGGCGTGTGGAGTAAGGAAACTTGCCCAAGGTTTCGCCCTGTCTGGAATTGAACTTAGGTCTCTCACTTGCCCTCCACGCAGAGAAGCGTCTCAGGGCGCTTGATTTCTTCTGTTACAAATTGCTGCTTCTAATATCTACTGTGTTTGGATGTAAAAATAGTCACTACACGGAGGAACCAAGTGAGTTGCTTTCATAAGAGTAGAAAGATGAAACTGTCACTCATTCACAATTGTTGTCTCTGTGAGAGTGAGGAAACTGTTTCATTTATTGTGAGACAGTGCCCTCTATGAATCGAGTGTGTGAGTTGAACATGATTCTCCTGCTCCTCATCCTGATCTGGTCTTTCATAATGTACGAATACTTGGGTAGAAATACAAGATGGGTCAAAGGGTACTCTATTAAACTGTCATATGAAAGTTGTCAACGTGTTAATTCATATTTAACTTTGAGAACCGCTTTCTGTAGTTCAATAGACCCAGGGGTGGAATTTCTACTGACATATTAGCAAATATCACGGAAGTTGATTTCTTTATTTCTCATGTGAACAGGAAGAGGGATAACACTCCTTGTTTGATGCTGCTGACATCTTTACAATTATGCCGATACCAAAGGAAAAAAATGATAATACTTGAACATGTATAGTTATATTATTATCGTTAAAGCGATATCCCAAATATATTTTTCTAAAAACAACACTTTATGCCGTATCGAAATGTATTCTCAGTGGGATACAGATATTGCGACCACTAAAATCAAATATAAAGTGTTCTTGACAGATGGCTAAAATAACCTGTTGAATTCTCCCCCCCCCCCCCCCCCCCCCCCCCCACCTCAAAGAACAAATACCATTTGCAGTTTTGACTCACAAATTAGCGCATGATTCAGAATGCATAAACATAGATGTCAGACCTGGTTGGTTCTCATAACCATCAATAAATGCAAATTTGCAGATTAAGAGAGTAGTAAACTGTATCTTGTGAATGTAGAAAGCACTCCGCTTACTGTCGGTTGTGTTGAGCGATGCAACAATCATGGGTCTTATTGGTTCCTTCAATTGTACTATTCAGTTCTAATGAATTAATTCTCCCGATTCAAACATAAATAGCGATTATTACACTATCCACGTTTAGGGGTTAATTTCATATGAGATTGATAAATTTACGATTATAGAAGATTATTGAAAAAATGTTGTAAGCTACTGTGCTACAAATTACCGGCTCATCCTGGAATATTGCAGATATGTTGTTGTCTAGTTATCCTCCTATCATATTTTCAATTAAATAATCCAATGTTTTATACTTATTTAAATAATGATCTACAACGATACAGAGAATAATAACGATACAGCTTTGAAGGTACAACAAGGGGAAAACATTAACATGAAATAATGCAAACTTGAGCTGTTGAAATAAACTGCAGTGACAACTACAGGTGTTAAACCGTCATCGAAATGCTGCAAAGAGGAAGTTGGTTTCTCGACAGCGGGATCGGGGCACTCCGGTACCCACAAGATGGTGGGGGGGGGGGGGGGGGGGGGGTCGGGGGAGGAACATTCTCCGGTAAATCCTCCATGAGCTTTTGGGGGAGGGTACATTTTCTCGTTTCATGCATCTGATTGCCTGATGGACAGCAGCTTTTAAATATGATGTTACTCCTTTTGGCAATATAAAAGCTTAGCGTAAAGATTGTATTAAATGTTGTAGTAAATGGTTACGTATACACGTTTATTTAGTTCTATAGACATTGGTGGGCTGACTTTTAATTCATTTGCAGTTTAATTTCAAAGTTGGTTGTTTTTCACGAACCTCATGAAATCGCTCTCAGATAACGACCGCAATTAACAATTTTCCCAAATTCTGCGCAATAAGTTTAAATTTTAGGACGCAATAGTTTGGGGGCTCCAATTAATTAAACGCAATTACAACTGCTGACGCCTCTGTGCCACACTGGAGAAGAAGTTTGAGGCAGGACAGCAAGATGCTGAATGTGCTATTCGTGTTCCTTTGTGTGTGTATAATTTTATGATGGAATATTGCTTCCCGTATGACGGCATTCTGTAGATTTGCCATTTTATTACATACTTAACGTTTATCTAAATATTCATACATTAATAACAAATAAACTAGTTGTTTTGGAAAAAGAAAGAATGATATCAAAAAGAGAAATTGAAGAAAAAGAGGACAATGGAAGAGACATTTTATTAAGCTGTGGCTTATGGTATTTCTGTAATTTTACACAATGGGTTTGATCATTGAAGCGTGTTCACATTGCAAGATACAACCATTCAATTCCAGCAAATTGACAAATATTATTCTTGCCGGTTTTAAGGCAATACAAGAAACATCTAAATGCCATTTCCTTCGGTTTAGAAATTTATCGAAAGTGTTTACAAAGTGAATCTGTTTCTCAATTTGGACATTCCTGGTAAAATGAACTTCAATTTCAAAATACCACAAAGGTAGATATTCGATTAGCGCTCCACATTCTTGATTTAGGTACAACTGGATCTGGCGATGCTTTTCTCGAGCGGAGTGGTCAGAGTCTGGTGTTTGACCACACAGGAATACAGGTCGTGTGACTCCCACTCGGAGGTTGGCAGAGTCAGATAACTGCTCACACTGTACGTGTTGTCCGCCTGCTGTTTGATCGCACTCGTTTCAACACCTTGACTTCTGGCACTGCCATCCACAGTCCACTCGACCTCCACAGCTCCCGGGATAAAATCATTCACCAGACACACCAGGGTCGCCTTGCTCTTTGCTGTGATTTGATCTGGTGAAGGCGGAAGGACAGTCACCGAAGGGCCCTGTGAGTCTGGAAGGAAAAAAAATAGTATTCAGATCATGTCCACTACATGATTAATTAAAATAGTTGAAATTATTTTTCTTAATATCTTAAGATTACAATCGTCCTGTTCAATCGCACGACACAACTTCAAGATCGCTAATAACTACAACAATACAGTAATTCACATTCGCGTAAATGGCAGAACATTTTCTTGTCTATTGACGGTACTGTTCAATTGTGGCAAAGTCTATCTATATCAAGGGAACAATCAGTGCTGGGGTCACTACTGATAGACAAATGTCTGGGGGCTGCTCATCATACACACTTCATTATTATACATACTATCATTAGTTGGCGGATGAGCGGTTAAACAGGGACCACATGTTCAAAATATTCCTGTATTGAAGAAATTAAATCTTACAATCGACAGAAATAACACCAGACACTAACATATCCCGTCACAGGAAGTATATGGCGGGAACACCTGATTGAAAGCGCAGTAACACATTATTGTTAATTCTATCCATTGTTTCCCTTCACAGAGGAGAGAACGTGCAGCAAATGGATATAAATATCTGTCTGTGTTTTCAACTGAACACCCAATTGCGACTAATTCAGTGTAAATCTAAATACGCATTATTCGGCTTTAAATCCAATTATGCGCAATCTGACCTTCCTTGACAACGGAGCTGCTAATCTTTGAGCGATGTTTGGGATTTGAAGAATCGCCATTCACGAATGTAGGTCATTTGTTATTCATATCTCAAAATGTTATTATTTACCAATACAATCAGAATATTATTAATCTCAAAATCAAATTGAATCTTGTTGGAGTGACTATGACATACCGATAAAAATAACAGCCGAATGCTTTCACCCCAACTATAAATAAGCAGATCCATCAATGATGGGGGTTTTTTACAGTCACAGCAGCAGATACAAAGATTGTGAAAATCTCTTTTCAGCAAACAGAAAATCAATTCAGGAGCACAATCAGGTTCCAATATTTCAATCGCTGCGGAAAGTAACTTCACAAGTCTTCAATAATTGATTTGGCATCGTGTTAACTGAATTTAGTCCCTAATTAACAGCGCACTACAGTTACAGTTAATGCATAGGTCGGGATCCTCACAACTAATAGGAAACAATGAAGTTAATTTTCAAAGGAGAAAATATATTTTGTGTGTTGAGCGGATTGAGCCGTCTCTCGGGCTGTGGCTTCTCTCACAGTTGATCAAATCTGAACAATTACAGCCACTTGGTGGTGGAACATGTGACATTCATGAGTATTTGCTGTTCATTGCAGTTGTGCTCCCCTGAGTGACATGAAACACGGAATTGGGAGAAAATAAAACATTTGAAGAAATCCAAAAAGAAATCTGCAGAAAATGTTAAAATAGAAGCGTTTTCTAAGGGGAGGAATAATATTTCCAAGTCATATTATTGTTGTGGAGTAAGGAAACTGGCCCAAGGTTTCACCCTGCTGGAAATCGAAACCAAGTCTCTCGCTTACAAAGCAAGTACTCTAACAACTGAGCTACAGTTCTCCACTTATTTATTCTTTCGCCAAGGGGATTTTCCTGGAGACACTCATGGAACGAAAAAAATAGGTTTGAGTAGACACTGTAAATGAGTGACCTGAAATGTTGCTTCACGGAGCATATTATGAATTGCACAATGGCTGACTAGCGATCTTTCATGTCAAGTATTAATTCAATTAGTTCGATATCTTCATATAGAAATCTGGTCAGCGCTCTGATATCATTCCCCACCTGCTTTAATATTATACTTTGTTTATTTTAACCAACATACTGGGTAGAGGCTATAATGTGTGGAAAGGTGTACACTTTGGTATATTCATAAATTTCCAATCAATTCTTAGATAATATTGGATACCATTGTTTTCTTCTTATCTTGGAAAAATATTAATACAAAATATGTTTCTAGTGAAAGTTGCCTTTCCCATGTTTACATAAACCACATTGAATAGCAGCACATCTCCCTTATTTTGCTCTATAATACTGAAGCTTTACTGATAAAGCATTAACAGCTGTAAATCTATATTTCCTTCCAGTGAACAGACATGCGATGGCATCAAAACATAAAAACTCAATTCCGATCTTCTTGACCTGTTGCCTGCAGCTATGTTGTGATGTGATGTGGAACAAGAAGTGTAAAAGCAGATTTATGTTCCTCAACCAACTGAAGGAAGGAAAGTGCTCAAGTGTAGTTTTACATCAGCATCCCACTCGCTTGAATTGAATTCTGCTCATGCACCGATCCCATACACTTTTGTGACACATAAATGTCAAATGGCTCATATATGTGAACAATCACAGAGCAGCCATCATTTTAAAAAGTATTCCTACAGTACGCGTATTGTGCTACAAATGAAATACTTAGATAATACTTATCAGGATATCCCCATCATTGCAATGCAGCAGTTAATTTACTAAGGGCTTTCGTTTTGTTAGAATTATTTTGAGAACAGAGAACAGAGGGGGTAGAGAGTCGAGAGGGGAGCTGAAGGCACGGTCAAAGAGAAACGTCTTGAGACTGGCCTTGAAGGAGGAAAGGGAGGAAGCGGTGAAGGCACTGGAGGAAAGAGTTCCAGAGCCTCGGGGCTGAGAGGCTGAAGGCCCGGCAACCAATGGTAGGGCGGTAGGGGCGGGGGATATGGAGCAGACCGGAGCCAGAGGAACGGAGGGGAGGGACAGGTAGGTAGGGGATTAGTAGGTCGGAGAGGTAGGAGGGAGCAAGGCCATGTATGGCCTTGTAGGTGAGGATGAGGATCTTGAAATCGATTCTCTGGGGGATGGGGAGCCAGTGGAGGTGAGCCATGGCGAGGGTGGGAGTGATGTGATCCCGAAGCCTGGTGCAGGACAATACACGAGCTGCAGAGTTCTGAATGACCTGCAGCTTGTGGAGGGAGGTGCCGGGAAGGTCAGCGAGGAGAGAGTTCCCATAGTCCAGCCTTGAGGTGATAAAGGCGTGGACCAGAGTTTCAGCAGCGTGAGGGGTGAGGTAGTGCCGTAGTCTTGCGACATTCCGGAGGGATGGAAGGCGGTGCCAGTTGTCGCGCGGATATGAGGGAGAAAAGACAGCTCAGGGTCAAACAAAACGCCGAGGTTCCTGACTGGCTTTGAGAGGTTGAGAGTGCAGCCTTGGATACTGATGCTGTCAGTGCCTGAGGTGCGGAGGCATGGACACGAGCCAATCAGGAGGGCCTCAGTTTTACGCACGTTGAGCTGAAGAAAGTTGTCTCTCGTCCAGGACTCGATGTTGGACAGGCAGGCTGTCAGGACATCGGTGGTCGTGGAGTTGAGGGTAGAGGAGGAAAGGTAGAGTTGGGTGTCATCCGCATGCATGTGGAAGTTAACCCCATGTCTGCGGATGATGTCACCAAGGGGGAGCATGCAGAGGGTGAAGAGGAGGGGACCGAGGACAGAGCCTTGAGGGACACCGCACGAGACAGTGCGGGGGCCAGAGGAAAAACCATTCGTGGAGACAAAGTGAAGACGGTGGGAGAGATATGACCTAAACCACTCAAGGACAGGGCCTTGAAGGTTTAGGTGGGAGGACAAGTGATGGACGAGGATAGCATGGTCGACCGTATCGAATGCTCCCGATAGGTCGAGGAGGACGAGGAGGCAGAAGGAGCCCTGGTCACAGATGTTCAGGATGTCATTGGTGACCTTGACCAGGGCAGTTTCTGTGCTATGGGCAGCACGGAAACCCGACTGACAGGGTTCGAATAATGAATGGTTGGAGAGGAAAGAGCGCAGTTGGGAAACGACAACTCGTTCCAGGACCTTGGAGAGGAAGGGGAGGTTGGAGATGGGCCGGTAGCTTGATAGCTGCGATGCATCAAGGGAAGGTTTTATTCAAGGTGGAATTGATGGTGGCAGTTTTTAAGGGAATGGGAACAGAGCCAGAGGTGAGGGACAGGTTGACGATGTCTGTGATATGTTGGGCAAGGTGGTGGAGCTGGGAGATAAGGAGAGGAGTGGGGATGGGGTCAAGGGAGCAGGTGGTGGGTTTCAGGGATAGGATGAGTTTGGTGACAGAGGGTGGGGAAACAGGTATGAAAGTGTGTAGGGGAGGATGGGTAGGAGTCGGAGTGTGGGAGGGAAGGGGTGGGGGGTGGGTAGATGTTGGAGGGGAAGTAACCGTGGAGCGAATTCCCTTGATTTTGGATTCAAGGAAATCCAGCATCTCCTCACAATGAAGGTTGGAGGAGATGACCTGCGCGGGGTGGCGGGGGGGACGGAGGAGTCGGGCTGTGGTAAAGAACAGTAGCCTGGGGTTGTTCTTCGCCTCCAGGATTATCCTGGAGTAGAAGGACGATTTGGCCGAGGCTAGAGTGGAGCGGTAGATTTTGAGGAGGTCCAGCCCGATTTGTTGGTGGACCGTTAGGCCAGATTTGACCCAGTCCTGGATGAGAGCTGACTTTCTCCAGCTTAAAGTAGAAAGGTTGGAGACCATCCTGCTTGACTTGAGTCAACACATTCTTACCTCATGCACTTATAACGTCACTATTGGCATATGGACTTTTAACCTCACAGATCCAATACCAATTCTTGGTGTCATGTTCGATCCTCATCCATCCTTTATCCCCATATCAGTTCTATGAATCATTCTGCGTTGCCGCACGTTCACTACATTATCCAACTCTGCCACTGCCTCTCCCCTCATGCTGCCAAAACCCTCATTCATGGATTGATCACGTCCAGGTGTGTGGAGTTATGTTAACCCTCTGCTAACTGGATTTTCTAACTCTTCCCTCCATAGGTTAAAGATTATTCAGAACTCTGCAGCTATCATTCACCAAGCTCCATGAACCAATCATCCCCAACCAACAGAGAAACAAGTTGAGGATCCTCATCCTTACTTCAAACGCCCTCCAATTTATTGGCCCTTAACACCTTACCAACATTCCTGCTCCATTCGCTTAGAAGGCACTGGTCTGCACTTCTTCAACTGACCCACCATCAGCAGGCAGGAATTCAGCATTTTTCTTCCCACCATTTGGAACTCCATTCAGGAATCTCTCCACCTTACCCTGCCTTCCTTCCTTGAAGGCTCATCTCAAGTCCTATCTCTTTGACAATGCCTCGGTCATCATTCCACTCCATCACCTTTGAGCCAAATCCCTAGCAAACCCTTGAGTGTTCAACATTTTGTGATGTAAACCCAACATGAAAAGCACTACATAAACACAATTCGTTGTTGCAGTTGTGTGTCATGATCAATAGTTTGTACTATGGTAGAGGACCTGCCATAAGAATAGCGTAATTTTGATAGTCTGACTAACATTGCCATGCAGCCATCTCAGCTCAAATTAAACTCCCACTAAACTTGCTTATTTGCCCGCGCACCTCCAAACCCCACACACCAACGACCCATTGGGTAGGATTGACACAAGATGATAATTCAGTAGCTAACAAGGACAGTTTTCAGTCCTCATTAAGTAAAGAACAGTTGCCATGAACTCAATATGAACCTCTTCATGACCATATGAAATGCTAAAGACCACTATCTTCCTCAGGCACACAGATAGGGCAAAAAGCCATGTTAGTCTTCATAATGGAGAATATACAACCCAGTAAAAGTCGAGTGACAACATACACAGTATACTCCCTATGGTGGCACCAAACAGTATAATCTACAATGAATAAATGATACAATATTCCAACAAATGGACATTTGTCATGATTTTTTTCTGCTAATCTAGGGCTGACACTACAGTCCATTATTGAGGGTAGTAATGCATTATCTGGCTGTCCCACCATCAACATGCGGGCCTTCAGCCTTTTTGATCCTAAATTCTAGCACTCCATTTAGGAATCTCTTCCCCTTGTGATGCCTTCCATCCATGAAGCATAATCTCAACTCCTTTCTCTTTGACTGTGCCTTGGTCATCCTTCGACCCATTCACCTTGATTCCTATCGCAGCTCAGGTGCAAATGCTTGACTTTGCTAAGTCATCCCAACATGAAACACATTACATAAATGCATTTTTCTTCTTGCAGTACTTGGTCATTATCAGTGTCTTATAGTATGGTTGAGTGCTTACCATTATGATTAACCTAATTTTGACAGTCAAAGGTATGTTGTCTTGGAGTCATCTCATGTCAAAGGAGTCCTCCGTAACCTCACTTCTCCCCCATTACTCCGCCCGCTGGAAGGATTGACATGCATTGGAGCTTCACTATGTAACAAGCGCAGTTTTCAACATTCATTGGGTAATCAGCTGATACCAGCAACTCCATGTGAGCTTCTGTGATACAATCTGAAACACTTGAGAGCATCATACCATTCTCCTGACCAGAGTGTTAACCCTCATAATGAAGAATACACAACCTGGTAAAATTCAAGTTCTAAGGTGCATATGCCCTCAGGTATCACCAAACACGATATTCTACAGCTAATGTTTGATACAATTTAATATCAAATTGAACAACTGCCATGATTTCTATCGAACGTTCTAGGGCTGACATTGGTGAGGGTAGTGGAGCAATTATCAGAGTTTTCATTGTTTGAATAAGATGCTAAACCAAGTTGCTGTTTCTTTGGGTAGACATAAACGTTTCTGTGACATTAATTGAAAAGCAAAAACACTTAATCATACATAAGTTACATTAGTTTTTCTGTTCTTGATCCAACAACAACAATAAGAGTAGCTTCTCGGTGAGCTTGATTTCTTGTGTTACCAAGTTGCTACTGCCAATATCTACTATGTTTGGCTGCAAAAAAAGTCACTACACTTAGCAACAACGTGAGTTGCTTTTATAAGAGCAATAAAAATGAAACTGTCACTCATTCACAATTGTTGCCTGTGTGAGAGTGAGGAATCTGTTTTATTTATTGTGAGACAGTGCCCTCTACGGATCGAGTGTTTGAGCTGAACATGATTCTCCTGCTCCTCACCCTAATCCTGTCTACATCTGGTCTGTCAGAATGTACGAATACGTGGGTAGAAATACAAGATGGATCTCTATTAATGTGAAAGTTTGCAGAGATTGTGAAATTCATGTTTAACTTTCAGAATCGCTTTCTGTAGTTCAATCAGACCCAGGTGGAATTTCTACTCAAATATTCACAAAGATCACGGAAGTGGATTTCTTTATTTTGCATATAACAGGACGGGGAACTATACTCTGAATAATAAAACTGAAGAACGTGGTCATCGCATTGATGAAAAGCAACAACGGCTTGCATCTGAATACCGCACTTTACGCAGGGGAATCTCTCGGATTCCTTTACATGGAAAAAAATAAGCGCAATCAATGTCATTGCAAAAATTTAAACCGAGTCCAAGAATAGTGCAGCATTTGTGCTGTCGATGCAAGTACTTCCAGATATTGCATAACGATGCTTAAAGCCGCAAAATGATACCTGAACATGTGGCTATTCTTTTAGAAATATTCATACAAGACGGTACCAAATCCCGAATAGTTTTATTAATTAGTAGGATTTATGTTTGATTTATACTGCTACATACTTTCCGCATTCAATTCGCAGATCGATATATTGCCCGATCTTCCCGAGTTCCTTGTTTGATATTCCTGGGGTCTTTATAATGATGCCGATTTAAAAGGAAAAAAATTATGAATACTTATATAAAAACGTGTATAGTTACATTGTGATTGTTAAATCAATCACTTTATGCCATATCGAAATGTATTCTCAGTAGGTTACATGCGTTGTGGCCATTAAAATAAAATATAAAATAATCCTGAAAGATGTTGTAAACTATTATACTACAACATTACCTGCTGCTACTGGGACATTGCAGATACGCTGTGGTCTAGATATCCTCTGATCAGAGTTTAATTAAACAATGCAATGTTTTATATTTGTTTAACTATTGATCTACAAGGATACAAAATATAATGCCCACCGATTTAAAGATTGCGAGAAAGGAAAAGTATTCACATGAAATTATACAAACTGGAAATGTTGAAATAAACTGCAGTGACATCTGCAGATGTTAAAACGTCAATGAAATGCTACAAAGAGGAAATTGGTTGCTCAACAGCAGTTCGGGGCACACTTGTGCCGCAAGGGGGGCAGGGGGGGAGATGGGAAGGAGCAATATATCTTCCATGAGCTCTGGGGGGACGGTACATTTTCTCTTTTAATTTGCATTGGATTGGCTGACGGGCACAAAGCTTTTAAATATGTTGGCACTCCTTTAGCAATATAAAAGCTGAGGCTAAACATTGTATTAAGTAAATGGTTATGTATACACTTTGATTTAGTTCTGCAGACATTAAGGGCTGGAGAGGGAGGGGCAAATTTGATTCAGTGAAATAGCTTCTAAACCCTGTACGCCATTGTTGGGGCAAAACAATTCACATGCGCTTAGCCTGTAATAATAATAATCCTTGCATTTCATATAGCGCTTTTCACGTCTTCTAGACGTCTCAAAGCGCTTCACATAATATGCTGTCAAATTAATTGACCGTATATTTGTAGGCGAAACTCGGCAGCCAACAGTGCACAGCAGTGTCCCACAAACAGTCGTGAATTGAAAATGACCAATTTATTGTTTTTTTTTTGTTTTTGGAGGATTATTTTTAGGCATGTGGTGTAAGGAAACTTGCCGAAGATTTCGCCCAACCTGGAATTCAACCCAGGTGTCTCACTTGCAAGGCGAGTGCTCTTAACCACTGAGCTACAGAGCTTAACCACTCATTTCTAGTTGTGCAATATTTTAAATTCACTTCAATTTTAATAAATTCTCAATTTAATTTGAATGTCGGTTGTTTTCAGAACGACATGAAACTGCTTCCAGATACCGACCGAAATTAATATTTCCCCCAAATTCTGCGCAATACATTTTAAGTTTTAGGACGCAATAGTGTGGGGGCTACAATTAACTAAACTCAATTACAGCCGCTGACGCCTCAGTGCCAGATTCTGCAGAAGAAGTCTGAGGCAGGACAGCAAGATGTTGAATGTGCTGTTCGTGCTCCCTTGTGTGTGTATAATTTCCTGGTGGAATATTTCTTCCGGTGTGACGGCATTCTGTGGTTTTACCAGTTTATTACATATTCAATGTTTATCTAAATATTCATAGAATAAGAAAAAAAACTATTGCTTTGGGAGAAAAATTGATGAAATCAAGAAAAGAAATGGAAGAAAAAGAGCCAATGCACAGAGGACAATGGAAGAGATATTTTATTAAGCTGTGGTATATGGTATTTCTGTAAGTTTACACAATGGGTTTGATCATTGAAGCGTGATCACATTGCAAGATACAACCATTCAATTCCAGCAAACTGACAAATATTATTCTTGCCGGTTTTAATGCAATACATCTAAATCCTATTTCCTTCGGTTGGGAAATTTATCGAAAGTGTTTACAAAGCGAATCTGTTTCTCAATTTGGACATTCCTGGCAAAATTAACTTCAATTTCAAAATACTACAATCACAAGTATTATTATTAAAGGTAGATATTCGATTAGTGCTCCACATTCCTGATTTAGGTACAACTGGATCTGGTGATGGTTTTTTCGAGCGGAATCGTCAGACTCTCGTGTTTGACCACACAGGAATACAGGTCGTGTGACTCCCACTCGGAGGTTGGCAGAGTCAGATAACTGCTCACACTGTACGTGTTGTCCGCCTGCTGTTTGATCGCACTCGTTTCAACACCTTGACTTCTGGCACTGCCATCCACAGTCCACTCGACCTCCACAGCTCCCGGGATAAAATCATTCACCAGACACACCAGGGTCGCCTTGCTCTTTGCTGTGATTTGATCTGGTGAAGGCGGAAGGACAGTCACCGAAGGGCCCTGTGGGTCTGGAAGGAAAAAAATAGTATTTCGATCATGTCCATTATATGATTAATTAAAATGGTTGAAATTTTATTTCTTAACATTTTAAAATTACAATCGTCCTGTTCAATCGCACGACACAACTTCATGTTCGCTAATAACTATTACAATACAGTAATTCACTTTCGCGTAAAAGGTAAAACATTTTCTTGTCTATTGACATACCTTTCAATTGTGACAAAGCCTATCTATATCAAGGGAACATTCAGTGCTGGGGTCACTACTGATAGACAAATGTCTGGGGGCTGCTCATCGTACACCGCTCATTATTATACATACTATCATTAGTTGGCGGGTGAGCGGTTAAATGAGGACAACACGTTCAAATATTCCCGCATTGAAGAAATAAAAGACAACAATTATCAGAAATAACAACAGTCACTATATACATATATCCTGTCACAGGGAATATGTGGTGGGAACACCTGATTGAAAGCGCAGTAAAACATTATTGTTAATTCTATCCTTTGTTTCCCTTCACAGAGGAGAGAACGTGCAGCAAATGGATATAAATATCTCGCTGAGTTTGCAACTGAACACCCCTTTCCTATTACCTCTGTGTAAATGTAAATACGCATTATTCAGCTTTAAAACCAATTTTGCGCAAACTAACCTTCCTTGAGAAGGCAGATGTTAATCTTTGAACGATGTTGGGATGAGAAAAATCGCTATTCACGAATGTAGGTCGTTTGTTATTGATACATCAAAATGTGATTATCAATAAAATCAGAATATTAGAAATTCTCAAAATCAAATTGAATCTTTTTGGAGCGACTGTGACATACCGATAAACACAACAGTCAAATGCTTTCACCCCATCTATAAATAAACAATTCCATCATTGATGTTTCTTTACAGGCACCGACAGCAGATAATAACAACGTGAACATATCTTTTGACCGAACACTGTACACAGAAAATCAATTCAGGAGCACAATCAGATTCCAATATTTCAATCGCTGCGCAGAGTAACTTCACAAGTCTTCAATAATTCAGTTGGCACCGTATTTACTGAATTTAGTCCTAATAATAGCGCACCACCTTTAAAGTTAATACGTAGGTTGGGATCCCCTTAACCTCACAACTAATAGGAAACCATAAAGTTAATTTCCAAGGGAGAAAATATATTTTGTGTGTTGAGCGGATTGAGCCGTCTCTCGGGCTGTGTCTTCTCTCAGTGTTGATAATATCTGAAGAATTACAGCCACTTGTGATGGAACCTGTGACATTACTGAGTTTTTGCTGTTCATTGCAATTGTGCTCACCTTGGTGACATGAAACACGGAATTGGCAGAAAATAAAACATTTTAAGAAATTCGAAAATATATCTGCGAAAAATGTTAAAATAGAAGCGTTTATTAACGGGAGGAATAATATTTCCACGTCATACTATTCCTCTAACACTTTTTACCCATGTTGATTTTCTGCACTATCCGTCCTACTTCCTCACAGACTCTCAGTTAAACTCAGCATTCGCATGTTTGATTCTTCAAAATATCCGATTTCCAAATAAAACGTTTATCATTGCGAAGATTATGGCCACATGGAAATATTACCAGAACAGAGTGAAACAGAATCCAACACAAATAAAGATACATTTGTACTGTGGAACCTTTGAAGGAGAACCAGATTAATATAATTATGGAAAAGTCGAAACAACCACATGCAAAGATTACAATGTCAAAGATCACTTACTTTTCAAACTCAGCTTCGTCCCTTTACCGAAAAAGTAGTGATATGGACTGTTGCTATCCCCGGCACCACAGTAGTAATCGGCGGCGTCCTCCGGTTGCACACCGCTGATGGTTAAATACATGGCGTTGCTCGATGAGTCCACAGAACCAGTGAATCGATCAGGAATTCCCGGACCCATGGTGTCATCCTCATCCCAAACAAACAGAGGGGCGCCGTCAGGCTTCTGCTGGAACCAACTCACGAAGTAGCTGCCGATGCTGCCTCCGGACATGGTACAGGTGATCTTGACGGTGTTTCCCGGGGAGGATGAGATGGACGATGGCTGAGTCAGGGTAACAGCTGCGGCTGTGCCTGGAGAAACAACAAGTCATAAATAGGTCAAATTGTTAAACTGTACAGATTGGATGTAATTCAGATCGGTGCGGATTCCGCAGCGCGTACCATGTAGACACAGGAGCAAAGCGGCCAAAACTCGGAGCCAATTGCCCATTGTGAGCAGTTTGATGAAGATCAGAGAGATGAGGGATGTTCCGGACAAAATCCACTTTTCTGCTTCTTTCTGAACTTCTCCTTAAGAACCATCAGGTGATGTAAGTCCAATTAAATTCTTAAATTATGCAAATCACCATCCAGGTTGCATCGTCCAATACGAGTCCTGGTTTCAAACAGCATACTGAAGATCATGCAGATTTGAGCCATTTTATTGCCCATTTTCGAAAAGATATTTCATGGTAATATTGCATAACATTTCACCCTGAAGACTTTGATTGTATGAAGCTCAGTTTCATTTCCATTATGAAATAAAGATTTTTTAAATGGCACAAACTTAATTTTTTTACAGAATCATGGAAACGTCTTCCATTACATATCTTATTCAGATATTTCATGGGTTTCTACCACGATCGCTTGCCATGTTTCACAGAGAATTATCTTGTTGAGGAGCTTGTTCTATGTTGGATAATTTGTTGGTGCAAATGTTTCATCATTTCTTTCAGTTACAGATCACACATCTGACCCATTACAGACCTGCACAGAAAGTAACACTACAAAGCTGTTGCCAGGGTTACTCAAACTACAACAACAACAACAACAACAAGATTCCATTTATTGAGCGCCTTTCACGTCGGGAGGACGTCCCAAGGCGCTGAAACTAAATATACGGATTATAGATTTTTGAAAATATAAATTCCCCAAGTCTTCCTTCGGCAGAATATCAGATTGATTCACAGTCCTTTGATGCTTGAAGAAAACTTCTATCACGAAACATTATCAATGATGAAAAGAGCCATAGCTCTGTTTATAAATAATAATAATAAAAATAATCCTTGCATTTGAAATAGCGACTTTTCACGTCTTTTAGATGTCTGAAAGTGCTTCACAGAATACAATGTAAAGTGAATTGACTGTATATTTGTGGGCAAAGTGCAACAGCCAATGCTGTACACAAGAGCGTCCCACAAAGAGTCGTGGGTTGAAGCGACCAATTTATTGTTGTTCTTTTCTTAAGGGATCATTATCAGGCGTGTGGATTAAGCAAACTTGCCCAAGGATTCGCCCTGCCGGGATTCGAACCCAGATCTCTCGCTTGCAAGGTAAGTGCTCTCACCACTGAGCTTCAGGACTCCAGCCAGGAAGATATCTCCACATTTAGAGATAGGTGTTGATGATATAAAATTGACATAGTGTTTGGCCTGTTTGTAACATTGAAGAGCAATGTCACAGATGACATACAAAGTGCCCAGGCCTTGGCTGTAGCTAACCTGTACCAAATACTTTCCAGAATCAGGAAATTGGTTTGACACAAAGAGGCGCTATGGAATTCCATCCCAGTCACAAGGAAATTGCCGTGTAAATGTGGCAAAAACACATCGCCGAGAGAATGTTACTGAGGCTGTAGTTTGTTATTCCCCCACCCTCCACACACACGCACACACAGATAGACATATGTGGAGTCCTGTAGCTCAGTGGTTGAGCACTCGCTTTGCAAGCGAGAGACCTGAGTTCAATTCCAGGCAGAGGGCGAAACCTTGGGCAAGTTTCCTTACTCCACACAGAGCCTAATAATAATCCATCCAAAACCAAAAACAATAATAAATTGGTCATTTTCAATCCATGACTGTTTGTGGGACATTGCTGTGCGCAATTGGCTGCCGCGTTCGCCCACAAAAATATACAGTCAATTCACTTTACAGTGTGTTCTGTGAAGCGCTTTGAGATGTCCTCCCGACATGAAAAGCGCTATATCAAATGCAAAGATTATTATTATTTATTATAAATTGGTCATTTTCAATCCATGACTGTTTGTGGGACATTGCTGGGCGCAATTGGCTGCCGCGTTCGCCCACAAATATACAGTCAATTCACTTTACAGTGTGTTCTGTGAAGCGCTTTGGGACGTCCTCCCGACGTGAAAAGCACTATATCAAATGCAAGGATTATTATTATTATTATATTTTAGTTTGTTTGGGCTATTTGATGCTTAATAATAATAATCCTTACATTTGATATATCGTTTTTCAGGTCTTCTAGACTTCTCAAAGCACTTCACAGAATAGACTGCAAAGTGAATTGACTTTATATTTGAGGGGAAATGTGGTAGCCAATTGCACGCAGCAATATCCCACAAACAGTCATGGTTTGAAGTGACTCATTCATTTTTGTTTTGTTTTCTTGAGGGATTATTACCAGGCATGTGGAGTAAGGAAACTTGTCAATGTTTCACCCTGCCGGGAATCAAACCCAGGTCTTTCGCTTGCAAACACAAGTTCTCTAACTACTGAGCTACAGGACTCGACTTATTTTATTTTCTGCCAAGAGGATTTTCCTGGAGACACTCATGGATGGAAAAAAATAGGTTTAAGTAGGCACTGCAAACGAGTGACCGGAAGTTTTGCTTCGATATCTTCACACAAAAATCCAGTCAGCACTCTGATAACATTCCCCACCTGGTTTTACATTATATTTTGTTTATTTTAACCACCATACTGGCTAGAGGCTGTATTGTGTGGAAAGGTGTACACTTTGGTATATTCATAAATTTCCAATCAAATCTTAGATAATATCAGATACCATTGTTCTCTTCTTACCTTGGAAAAAAAACTCATACAAAATATATTTCTAATGAAGGTTGGCATCCACATGTTTAAGTAAACCAGAATGAATTGCAGCACCTCTGTCTTATTTTGTTCTATAATACTTGAGATTTTTGACCCCAACCTCTGGAACTCCATTCAGGAATCTCTTCCCCTTGCCCTGCCTTCCGTCCATGAAGCTTAATTTCAACTCCTTTCTCTTTGACTGTGCCTTGGTCATCCTTCCACCCATCCCCCTTGATTACAATCGCAGCTTGGGTGGAAATGCTTGACTGTCCAGCACATTGCTGCATCATCCCAACATGAAACACACTACACAAATATATTTTTTTCATGCAGTTGTCTGTCATTATCAGTGCCTTATTGTATGGTGGAGTGCTTGCCATTATGCTTCACCTAATTTTGACAGTCAAAAGTATATCGTCTTGGAGCCATCTCATCTCAAAGGGTCCCCACTAACTTCACTTCTATCCCACCCCTCCTCCCGCCGGAAGGATTGACATGAGATGGAGATTCAGCATCTAACAAGCGCCGTTTTCGACATTCATTGGGTGAACAGCTGATACCAGAAACTCCATGTGAGTCTCTGTATTACCGTGTGAAACTCTTGAAAGTATCACTACCATCCTCCTGACACAGCCATGTTAACCGTCATAATTTAGTGTACACAACCTGATAAAATTAAAGTTCTAACATGCATATACCTGTAGGTGTCAACAAACAGGATATCCTATAGTAATTAATTGATACGATCTTATATCAAATTGAACATCTGTCATGATTTATATCGAATAATCCAGGGCTGACATTGTTGAGGGCAGTGGTGCATAATCAGAGTTTTCATTGTTTGAATAAAATGTAAACCAAGTTCTTGTTTCTTCGGGTAGACATAAAGTCATTAATTGAAAAGCAAAAGAACTTAGTTCTACATCAGATCAATTAGTTTTTCAATTCTTGATTCAACAACAACCAAACTTCTACATATATAATGCCCTACAAGCAGGGTAGCATTTCGGTGAGCTTGAGTTCTTGTGCTGCCAAGTTGCTGCTGCTAATATCTACTGTATTTCGCTGCAAAAAACAGTCACTACACTTAGCAACAACGTGAGTTGCTTTTCTAAGAGCAATAGAAATGAAACACACTCATTCACAATTGTTGCCTCTGTGAGAGTGAGGAAACTGTTTTATTTATTGTGAGACAGTGCCCTCTACGGATCGAGTGTTTGAGTTGAACATGATTCTCCTGCTCCTCACCCTGATCCTGTCCACATCTGGTCTGTCACAATGTACGAATACTTGGGTAGAAATACAAGACGGATCTCTGTTAATGTGAAAGTTTGCAGAGATTGTGAAATTCATATTTAACTTTCAGAACCGCTTTCTGTTGTTCAATCAGACCCAGGTGGAATTTCTACTCAATTATTTACAAAGAATGAATTCAGAAATGTTCACAGAAGTGGATACCTTTATTTTGCATATAAACAGGATGAGGAGCAATATACTCCGAATAAAAAACAGAAAAATGTGGTTATCACATTGATGAAAAGCAAAAACGACTTTCATCTAAATAGCGCACTTTATGCGGGCAATCTCTCGGATTCCTTTACATGGATGGCGTTGGACACCGAATAAGGGAATTATGAAACGATTAGCAAGAAATATGTTTAATGCACATTCATCAAAACAAAGCACCGCAAATTTATCATTTAAGTGGCGAAATAATTGATGCATTCTTTCTTGAGTTTCATATTTTTTCGAAAAAAAAGGCACAATCAACGTCATCAGAAACCTGGCTCACCCCAGGCGACACCTTCCCCCTCACGGAGGCCACACCACCCGGCTACACCTCCCACCACATCCCCCGCCCCAACCGCCGTGGCGGTGGTGTTGCCCTTATCTCAAGGACACCACTTGCCCTATCCCCTTACTCCACTGGCTCTTTCCCCTCCTTTGAGCACCTCACCCTCTCCCACCCCTCATTCCTCTCCCTTAAAATCCTCCTCCTCTACCGGCCCCCTAAAACCTCTCCCACCTTCATCTCTGACATTTCAACACTCCTCACATCTCTTTGCCTCTGCTCTGATCGCCTCATCATCCTGGGCGACTTTAACCTACACTTCACCCCTCCTGCTCCATCTCCACAGACTTCTCTTCCCTGCTCTCCTCACTCAACCTCTCCTTACACATAAACTCCCCCACTCACAGTCACGGCCACCCACTCGATTTGGTGATCACCCGGGGCCTCAGTGTCTCGGATGTCACTATTACCGACAAGGCCATCTCTGACCACTACTTCATCTCCTTCACCACCTCCACCCCCTCCCCACCTCCACCAGACCCACCACCATCTTCTACCGCCCTTGGAAGAAGTTAACCCCACAATCCCTAACCGATGCCTTGGAGTCCTCTGAACTCCTCTCCCTCTGGCCTTCAAC